CTAGATTATTTTTTTGTGTTGCTACAGGAACAGTAGAATGGCATTTGCTATGTGGGCTTCTTAAAATCAACAAATGCCTTATATAAATAAAGAATTAACAATGCTTTTCCCCCTTTTTTTCCAGTTTAGTCTGTTCACACGTGTTTACAGCCTTAATTTATTGCTTTTTCAAGGGCGTCCCTTTTGTCTGAAATGTTTCTATACCGTATATGTTTCAGTTGTCTTCCCTATCCTGTCTTCTCCCTTTTATTAATTTTTTATTCAATTATTATCTTCCTTACAATTATTTGTTATAAAATATGTCCAAGTTGATGCAATATTTGCCTACAATAAGCCCACTAGAATTGCTCAGATGTTGGGGTCGCTTTATAACTATATAAAAAAAATCAGGTTTTTCACTTAAATAATAATGTGTTGCACTTTACGTACAGGGATGAAGGTGAATTCTACTCCTAATGACTTAGGGGTAAAATCTCTGACTGATAAACAAATCAGATGAGCGTGTTTTCGATCCCAATATATATATATATATATATATAGGCAATTGAGCTGAATTTGTAAAATAGTCTATTACCGATGCACTAATCGAGTTCTGATGAGCTGTAAAAATACGTTTGTCTGTGAAAATAACAACATATATATATATATATATATATATATATATATATATATATATATATATATATATATATATATATATATATATATATATATATATATCTGTGTGTGTGTGTGTAGTGTGTATATTTATATATATATTCATATGTAAAAAAATAATACATACATTAAAATGTGTTTATGTGCACACACACACCATATATATATATAAAGGCATATAAATTTATACATTCATATGCTTGGGAGAAAAACACACACACACACACACACATATATATATATATATATATATATATATATATATATATATATATATATAGTTAGAATTTCAAACATAAAAAATAGACAGTGGAAAAGCTAAAAAACGTCACATTTCCATTGTCTGTCACATCTCGATCTGTCTATCTGTATATCTTTTTACCTCACACACACACACATATATATATAATATATCAATCTGATCTATCTATTAGGATATATATATATATATGTATATATATATGTGTGTATATATATATATATCTAATTTATCGTTTTATATCTATCATCTAGATTTTTGAATTCTCATATCTCATTTTTTCTTGTATTTTGATTGGTCAATATAAACACGCTTATATATGCGGCAATAATATATGTGGAACATAAGTACATATAGAAATAAACATGTATTTGTTTGAGTGTATGTGTGGTGTGGTGCCCCCTATATAGTGTGTCGAATAAAAGCGATGTTCGAGACAATGATTTATTTGAACCTTTAAAACCTTTTTCTCCGGTCACTGTTCTCCAGTCTAAAAAATAAATACGTCTAAACTCACCTTCATCCCTGATGAAATCACCCGGTTTAAAGCAATCAAATAACTAGCACCTGAAATATATATAAAATATATATTATATATATATATATTTTATATAAGTCCGTTTTCAAGATTTTTGAATTCTCATTTATGTTATAATTTTGCGAGGAACGTTTGATTTATTTGAATTTAAAAACCTTTTTATTCTACATTCAACACCATCACTTGATGAGACACCAGAAGTGCCGAAACAAATGGCTATTTATATATTTTATATATTTATATATATATATATATATATATATATATATATATATATATATATATATATATGCTTTGTCTTAGCGAATCAAAATGGCATGCATTAAATCCCATTCAGTTCCAGAGACTTGTTTGTCAGTTGCCTGGCCGTTCTCATTTGAGCATGACCTCTGTGAACGGAACTGTTACCAGGGTTATACAATACAGTCTGTCCTGCTATTTACCCATAGCTGGGGGAGGAGAAGAAGAGGATTTATACCTTTCCCAAGGGTACTAGAACGTAAGTGAATGTAATGGATCTGATTGGAATTCGAACTCGGCTCTCCGATTCCTCAATCCGAGCTGCTATCCACATGGAACTAGCACAGTCTACCCCAGTGAGCGAAATAAAGGGTTCAGTTCGAAATTCCAACGACCTGAGGAAGGCCGGAGCGTACAACGGCCGAAACGTTGTGATAAATATGGTGACAAAGATGAGAACAATAGTCAGAATAATGTAAATAATTTTCATTTTAGTTCGGTATTTATTATGGTTACATTTTTCAGTTACTCACTCATATCAAAAGCCATTGCTCTACAACTAACGAATGCGGTATTTTTATCCCGTGACCCGTAGAGTCGTAGGGTCACCATGTGGAATGCAGCCACAGTAGAAGTGGTTTCTTGAGCAAGATAGTCTGACGGAGCCCATCCCTCTCCGGGACGGTTTTGAATTCAGATATTTTTCTTCACTTGGAACGGTTGCTACCCAATATTATAGAACCCAGTTTGTCCTGCTATTTACCCATAGCTGGGGGTAGAAAAAGAGGATTCATACCTTCCCCAAGTGTATTAGCCCGTAAGTAAATATAATGAATCCGAGTGGAATTTGAACTCGGCTCTCCGATTCCTCAATCTGAGCCGCTATCAATTACTCCACCGTAAATGGAAATAAAATGTTCGTTCTCTTAAATTTCTACAGAATTAATAGAAAATTAAAAAGATGATACAACTTTCATTTTTTTATTATATTTTTCTCGTCTAAATGAATAATTCTACGATTGTTCAAATAATTTATTCTCGGATCGTTATTAAATAATTCTGTGGTACAAATATGGCGCAGGTCCTTGGCACACTGTGAAGACATGTGCCATCAATGATGACTGGCCTTAGAACGAATAAGACATTCTGTCCTCATGTTTAGTAGAGGTAGTCTCAAAATGAACCAAAAATTGAACATATTTAAAAAGATAATGGGGACATAACGAGCTGGACCACCCACCCAGCTGGATTGGAAAACTTAACTCACTGGTCCATATTTTTCCCATGAGTACATGCACCGTAGCCACGGTAGAAGTAGTGTTTCTTGGGGAAGATAGCCTGACGGATCCCAATCCTATCCAGGCCGGTTTTGGATTCAAAGTTTTTTTCTTCTCCTACACCGTTTCCAAGGTTATAGAACCCGGACTGTCCTGCTATTTAGCCGGTGGTAGGGAGAAGAGGAATCATAACATTCCGAAGTGTATTAGCACGTAAGTGAATGTAATGGATCCGACTGGAATTCGAACTCGGCTCTCCCAGCCGCTATTCATTACTCCACCTTGCCTCCTACCCTAGAAATACTTCCATGGTAATTGTTCTGATGAACTCTTCCCTATAGTGCTCGGATTCTATCCTCTATGAATTTAAGCGTCTGACTTTGGTGGGCTTCTCTGTTTTTGGCGAAGCAGGGTGTATCATGATCGTAAATCATTAAATATAAGATCCTGCTCTGCATTTAGATATTCTTGATAAAATCCAAAGACGAATCTTCAATGATAGTGCTCCTGACCTGGCATATCGTCTTTAGTACCTTACCCAGCCAACGTAACGTAGCTTCCCTGTGCCATTTCTATAAATACCTTCAGGGCAATTGTTCTGATGAATTTTCCTCTATCGTAATTAGATTTTATGATTTAAAACGCATTACTAGATTGGCGGCTAGGCCTTATTTTTTTTAGTTAAAATGATTAGGTGTAACCGTAAGTTCTATGTCAATAGTTCCTTCTCTCGCTTGTGAAGCAGATTTCCGGTATTTTGCTTTTTAGTTAACTATCATCTTGAAAAAATTTAAATGAAATTCCAATTGTTGATTTTACTTGATCTACCAAATAGTCATGACTTAGTATAAAAACTACCTAACTTGCTGGCTATTGTGACATGTGGTGGGCTCCTTACTTTTCACAATTCAACAGTAGCAGCAACCAAAGTAATCAACAGGGAACAACCAGAAGGTCCAGAACTCATAAAAACGCTGACCGAGCCCTATTCGGCGCTTTTAACACGTTTCCTATTCAGTGGCTGCTACCTTCAAGGCCAGCTGGAAGAACTGTGGAGAATCTTCTTTCTTCTGAGTTTCTGTTCTAGCTCTTTACCTAGGCTTTATGAATTTAAGCGCAGTACTAGACTAGCAGTTAGGTCTCATCATTCTGCACTTAAAATGAATAGTTAAAACGTGTATCTATATATGTAAGTTATAATCTAACTTCTCTCGCACTTTTCGGGTGTAAAATTCCCTTAAGCTTCTTGTGTTCATGAAAAATGGCCGTTCCTTGTATCCCTCCAAGAAGTAACTGAATTCTTTTGCCATGCTTTACATATCAGACTAAAAAGAAAAAGATGGTGCATTGCTGCCATATCTTGACGGGAAGTGCCAAATTATCACTTTCCAACCTTGACAGAATTTCAGATCATCTAAGCGGCGTTGTGGCTGATGAAATATTCCCCCCTTTACGGATGCAACGGTAAACGATTTACATTCTTTACTATTGTCCCCATCTTTGCTGCCATATTTATTACAACGTTTCAGCCGTTATACGCTCCGGCCTTCTTCAGGTGTTTGGAATGTCGAATTGAAACCTTTATTTCGCTCACTGTGTTAGACTGTTCTAGTTCCATGTGCAATGTTTTAATGGATGTTAGTTATCAGTTATCTCTTGTTAATTTCCCTCTGAAAGTTCTCTACTGCCTTAACCTGGTATTATCCGATTGTTTTTGTCTTACGGGACATTTAAATATGGCAATTTATACCCTCCACTTGTTTTGACTGACTTTTCAACCACTTGATGAATATTCAAATTTAAAAGTTTTTGTTAAATCAATGACTTCCTTGATCTTGTATATAAACACGAACAACAAAACAGGTGGCCAAATGTAAAGGGAAATGTGGTCGCAGAAATTGTCTGACAGCCATGACTGGGTTTTCCTGCTTGTGTGGTATGGTGCAGAGTCCTGTTACTAGATATACGGTCTTTCAGCAGCCGCCCACTTGACCCAGGACAGCACTACCTCGTCCTGTTTAAATTGGGATCAGATTTCTAGGGTTAGCAAAGGACGTATAAAGATAACAATCTGATTCCAATTTAAACAATATTCAGAATATTTACGAGACTTTGAATTATGGCACATTGTGTCTTCCATATATTTTGACTGACCTTTCAAACACCTGATGAATATTCATGAACGTTCTCAAATCTAAAAGCCTTGATAAACGAATGACATGATAGATAGATAGATAGATAATGTACAGCCTGAGATAGATAGATAGATAGATAGATAGATAGATAGATAGATAGATAGATAGATAGATAATGTACAGCCTGAGATAGATAGATAGATAATGTACAGCCTGAGATAGATAGATAGATAGATAGATAGATAGATGTGTATTTATGCAGCAAATTCTCTTTTAGGCATGCCTGATTAAATAAATTACAAACATTACGTCTGCTTATTTTTAGCATAATCTGTTCATATTCACGGATATTTTTCCCATTTATTACAATCAAATGATGCAAGAAATGCATTGTGACAGTTACAGTGCATTTCTTGCATCATTTAATTGTAATACACGGAAAAATTATTTCGGTCACCTTTCCTGAAAGACATAGATTTTTCCAAAGGCAACATACACGACCATGTTGAAATGTTGAAAAATCAAGAAAAACAGTTAAATCCATTACGTCATGTTTTTGAAGACGTACCTCACATAAGTCCATCCCAAACCAGAACAATCTGATCACAATTTAAACAATATTCATTTACTTTAAATAAGTATATATATATATCGTGATTGTTAATCGCTTAACAAATTTTGAATTATGCCAATTTGTTTCCGCCATGTGTTTTGACTGACCTTTCAACCACCTGATGAATATTCATGAACGTTCTCAAATGTAAAAGCCTTGATAAACCAATTGTGGCACCATGCATCCGGACGATTTGAAAGAAATATTTATAGATATATGATTTGTTTTTTTACGGTTTATCAACCATTTGATAATTATTTAAGGCCGAAAAAATATTTTAGGTTTTAAGAATAATTCTTTCTTTGCATTCAAACGATTTGGGAGAAAGAAAGAGAAAACGAAGAAGAAAGAAAGAAAAAGTAATACCAGACGGGTCATAGGCGAACACACACACACACGGGTTAAGAGACGGAAATGAGGAGGAAAAAGGTTATAGTTGATAGGTATCAGATGTCGAAAATATCTAGGTCACCTACGAACAAGCGTTGACCAATTTCCGCTTGTCCACGAAAAATGGAATTTTGTTATCTATGGATGTCACCAAAAGAAGAAATCCATTGTTGAACATTGACGAAACACAGACAGTCTTCCCTGGGTAAAGAATTAAAATCCCACACAAGAAGTTTTCACTGGCTAAGTTTTTTGACCGAATAGACGTTTGCCCTGTGATAATAAAGATTTTTGTTATCAACACATGGGACGAAAGGAAAATGAAATATTTTTATTTTTGCTTTAGAGACGTCAGGGTGGCTAGGAAAATTTCTTTCTTAGATCATTTCCAATTAGCGATAAACTGCCTGACAAACGCCACGTGTTACAACCGAGGGTTGTCACCTCGGCCGCTCATGATAAGGGCGATTTAATTAATTTTTTTTGTTAAGCAAGGTATTTCTTTCCCAAAACAAAGCCACGGGCTGTTCACGCCCGACTAAGACGTCATTGGCCAAGTGGATCACATGACGCACGAAGGAGGAGGAAAGATACCCAACCAGGAACTCATTGGCCGAGAGCGGTCACGTGACGCACGAAGAAAATCAGTCGACGCCTCTATCCAGAGTGTAAGTGTGAGAAGGCGATACGAAGAAGTGGAGAAGTTAGTGCACGCCCCTCAGAAGCACGGTAAGAGAGTGGGAGTGAGAAAAGAGTTACCAAAAATGGAAAAGAGTGGAAAATCCCTAACCAGAAATAAGAAGGGTGGATACGTATTTAGAAATATCGAAGAACCCCTGGCGCCGACAGACCCACCCCAGTTTTGACGGCGTCAACAAAAACGAAGCCCCACCAGACAGAAATCAGTTCAGCCGCGGACGGCAGGCGGAGTGGAGCCGCGGACGGCGGGCAGAGTTCGTTCGCTCCTAGCGGGCAGAAGAGGCCAGTTCGTTTGGCCCTGCGAGAAGAAGTTCGTTCGACCCAAGCTGGCGAGAAGAAGTTAATTCGCGCACCGGCGGCAGAGATGAATGCCCAGTAACTCAGACTCTGGAGATCAGTTCAGCCGCGGACGGCAGGCGGAGTTCAGCCGCGGAGACGGGCAGAGTTCGTTCGCCCCTAGCGGGCAGAAGAGGCCAGTTCGTTTGGCCCTGACGGCAGAGAAGAGTGCCCAGTGAGTTTGAGCCCCGGACGGCAGGCAGAGATGAGTGCCCAGTGTTGAAACCGCATCAAGATAGCTGACCAAGATTCACGCACACTTTTGGACTCTTCTTCAACCAAGAACAAGTAGTTTGAAGAGCGACTTAGAATCAGACCACAGAAATAAGTTTTTCGACTTTCGTCCAAAGACACACCGAAACACAAATTTCTTAGAGAGCAGACAACTTGAAGCCTTAAAGTTTGCCTAGCGAAAGCGTCGTGCCACAATCCACAGAACGGGTCGGGAAGTAGACATAGTCCTATGTACCGAACGAATAGACATAAAAAGTTTGTTACCTTTTTCTTTGATACTTTGGACTTTGTGAGTTTTCATTTTATTTTCTTTTTATACATAATTGTGTGTTATCACCCCTGTTGAACTCAGCTTGCATTACGGCCCCAACCCCTGTTTGATCTCGTCTGTCTAAGATCAATTCACAACGTGGGTAGGCAGACTGGAGATCAGTGCAGTTACCCTGGTAACCAGGCGTTGGAAGCAGGTTGGGAACGGCGAGGCTGGTATCAATCTAACCAGATTCCTACCCGAATCACCAAAGGGTTAGAACGTCACGTTTGGAGCAGCGACACCCGGACGGAGCAGCGAGGAGCGAACAGCTGACGCCGCGGCGAAGACGTCACAATTGGTGCTGTTTGGGGGCGTCACAACTGGCGCCGTGGTAGATCAGGATAGAACGACACAGTCGGCGCTGCGACCCGGGGACGACGTCACACAATGACATCCTTGCTTTTGTATATAAATACGTGCAAGAAAATAAATTTGCCTTGACATTTTACTCTACTAATTGGAGTATAATTCAGTCTATGTCACTTTAACTGAAAAAAACATATACAACAACAATATTTTGTGGATTTGTCACATTACAAAATTCAAACAAATCGTACGCTTCAAACTAATATAACTGTCAAGAAAAAACACATTTAAAAAAAAAAGATTTTTCGGTCTGCACTACACATATTTCGTCTTAGTGTTTTGCTGTATATGGTAAAATTGCGCCCTGAAGGTAACAATTTGAAATTGTTTAAAGTACTTGCCTCGTCGATTTCATCTGACAATAACTCAAATATATAACAACTCAAATATAAGGATCTTATTATTCAAGGAATTGATAGTAAGTTAATGTTTCATCAATTTTCTTAGTGAAGTGATTTCGACATTAATCACATTAACATTGCTAATTAATTCTTTGAATAAATCGCTAATTTAATATATATATATATATATATATATATATATATATATATATATTGTACACACCGGACTATTGTCCTCATCTTTGTTGCCATATTTATTACAACGTTTCGGCCGTTGTACTCTCCAGCCTTCTTCACGTGGTTGGAAAGTCTAACTGAACCCTTTATTTCGCTCACTGGGGTAGACTGTTCTAATTCCATGTGCAATGTTTTAATGGATGTTAGTTATCAGTTATCTCCTGTTAATTCCCCTCTTGAAGTTCTCCACTGCATTAACCGGGTATTGAACTCACACTCTTTGGGTCCTGTCACTGGATCCTACTAACGGCTTTATCCACTGTGCCTTGTGTCCTTGAAACGCTGTAATAAATATGACGACAAAGATGAGGACTATAGTCCGAATAATCTAAATAGTGTACATAATACTCAGAAATATAGACAGATATATATATATATATATATATATATATATATATATATATATATATATCTATTTAAGACACTATTTAAGAAACTCCTTGACCTTTTAAAAGTCATATGGAAGGTTGATTCTGTTCTGGATTACAAAGATATTGCATATATATATATATATATATATATATATATATATATATATATATATATATATATATATATATATATATATATATATTATGCAAGTTATTTTGTATCTTGAAAGTTTCTGTTCACAGGATTACAAAGATATTATATATATATATATATATATATATATATATATATATATATATATATATATATATATATATATATATATATATATATATATATATATATATATATATATTATTATGCAATCTTTGTAATCCTGTGGAACAGAATCAACCTTCCATATGACTTTAAAAAGGTCAAGGAGTTTCTTAAACAGTGTCTTCCCACCATATTTAAAATTTTCGGCGGGGAAAGCATCTTTCCCAGGGTGTTTTTCGAGGACAATCGCCTGAAAGAATCTTGAATTTCCTTCAGGCATGGCTCAAGAGACAACAGGACTACAAAGATGCCTGCATCAAACATTTGTTCAAGAACAAAGGCAAAAAAGGTTGTATGTGATAATTCTTGTGGCATTGCGTTTCTGAGTAACGCTGGCAAAATTCTCGCTCATGCTATACTCAACAGGATAATCAAATATCTCATTGACAACATCTATCCCGAATCGCAGTATGGTTTTCGTTCAGGTCGTGGAACCATTGATATGAGTTTTTCACTTCGTCAGGTTGCTGAGAAAGTTTGCGATAAGAACCATAAACTCTATACTGCCTTTATTGATCTGACCAAAGCGTTTGACACTGTAAACAAAAGTGCCCTCTGGAAAGTACTTGTAGAGGGCCGTGGCGGTTACGGTTTGTTGTGGGAATGGCAGTTGCCACTTGTTGTTTATAGAAGTCAGACGTAGAAGAAACGCAAGGTTCAGATGCTCCTGCCCGCCGAGCCCAACTACATAAAAAGGTTGGACTTTGATTAAGTCCAAAGAAGAAGGAAAAGAAAGCAAACAAAACAAGACCGATAATATATGTATATACAAATATATATTATTAACAAGTTACAATACATGGAAACAGTACAAAGGACGAAGTGTGTGTGAATATTCTGTATGTGCGTGCGTGTATGAATATTCTGTGTGTGCGTGCGTGTGTGGATATTGTGCTTAGCGTGTTTCCACGCTATTCCTTGTTAGCGACTACATTTCGAGGTTGATAGTTGAAATCCTCTAGGAATAAGAGAAATTTACCTCGAGGTGTCAGTGCACAGGCCTGAAAGGAAAAAAGAGATAGAGGCGAAGGAGAGACCCCTGGTGAAAG